GTTTGCTTGTGTGTCAGTGAACTAGCTCGTGGCAAAATTGTGCAATGGTGGGTAGATGTGGTGAGAGGATCCTCCTGCAGTGGAGGTGTGGAGGAGTTTATGTATATCAATCTGTAAACCAACTGGAGTCGTGTGGTTGGGTAGGAAGTGGCCGCCCACGACACGGTCATGTAGGTGAACGAAGAACACCTCGGTAAAAAGTGTGACATTAGATTAGTGTTCCAAATGTCGTGGTATTTCTGAAAAGAAACAATAAGTGTAAACATTACAAAATTAGTCCAGTGTTGTGCATCTTGAGCGAACAACACAGGGCCACACTCCCGTCCACCTCCCCCCATCCCTGAACCCCTCCCCTCATCCCAGCCTAGACCACTGACTTCCTGACCAGGTGTTGCCGTTTATGTCCCACCAAACTACAAGTTCAGCCGCTCGCTACTCCCCCACCCCTCGGCCCCCCATGCATCCATGCTGTCCTTCACCCATCACCCAACAGCTGGCGCCCTCCCACCCCGCACGATAACAGCAATGTCACAAGTAGTTGCGGTTCCCAGGAATCTTCACGACAGAGCCAAAGCTGTCGTTCACGAGGCTCCTGCCCGGGTTGCTACAGGGAATGAGCACTCAATCCCACAACTGCAACCACTCCGTGCACACAATGGATGTCTATGGCTTCCAGGAGAGCTCCAAATGTGACAACCAAAGCTCCCCCAGCAGACAGGGCTGACAGCTACCGGACTTCACCTCTACCGAGACCTCAAATCTGCAATCAAATTAACATCCACCAGGTCTCTGACACATATCCCCAAAGCAGCTCGCCCTCAAGCTGCTAGCAAATTCACTGACCTTCTGAAGAAAGTCAACGATGCTCCTTCAAACAACAGATCCTGGCACAACTTGCTGCTTTTTGGCAATGCCTGTTTGGCTGTCCCACCAAGGAGGGACAAGTCACTAGCAACACATGTTATTAGGGCAATAAATGCATTCCCAAGGATGACAACCTCCTCCTCTCCCCCCTAGGGCGACAAACACCTGCCGGGCAAATGCCAACAACAGGACACCCGACGCCTCAAAAATCAGAGCCCAAATTAGCAAAAAAAATAGTCGCCAAGGCTGCAGAAAGAAGGGTGAGTCAGGCTGCTGCAATGCTGAAACCAACTCAGCTCGGTTTCGGCGTTCAACAGGGCTGTGAAGCAGCTGCCCACGCAGCACGAGCATATATCAAAAACATGTCTGATGAAAAAGCCTTGGTCAAATTGGACTTTGCCAACGCTTTTTCACAACTCAGTTCAGAAGGATGCGCTCCCAAGCTGTTTATAGAAACTTCCCCTTCCCTTTATCCCTTCATAGAAATCGTGTTATAGTGTGACTCCAAACTATTGTTTGGGGGGCCATGAAAATGACTATCATGTGAGGGCGTGCAACAGGGGGACCCTCTCTCCCCCTTTCTATTCCGTTTGGTCATCAAGGAGGTCACAGAAGCACTCTCCAGCGAGCTCAGTATCTGGTTCCTGGATGATGGTACCCTAGCTGGCCACAACAGAATCTCCCTAGAGACATCAGTTTCAAATTAAAGACATGGGAGAAAGCCTGGGCCTTTCTTTAAACGCCACCAAATGTGAAATAGTTTCTACCAATCAACACACGATCCAGAATATTAGCGCCATTTTACCAGGAGCACGAGCCATTGATCCAGCCAATAGCACTCTCCTCGGTGCTCCTCTTGGTTCCAATGCCATCGATCTGATCCTAGAAAAAAAAGTCTCAAACCTCCGGACGATGGAAAGCAGGATGAAAGATCATTGACACACACATGCCTTCGACCAACTCAACCAGGGTGCTGTCAATCCAAAACTTACATACTTTTTGAGATGCTCCCCAGCCTTCAGCAGTTCAAAACTCAAGGAATATGACTCTCTCCTTAAGACCATGCTAGACAGTGAAGTGAATCTTTCTCTTGAAGATGGACAGTGGTTGCAAGCCTCACTTCCGGTCAGGCTTGGAGTATGCAGATCCTCCCAGATTGCTCTACCAGCTTTCCTATCCTCTTCCATAGCATCAAATGATTGATAAGACAATTTCCTTCCTGAACCCTCAGTGACTCAGCAGGAATAGAAGACCCTAGCTATGTCAGTGCCATCACTGAATGGGAGACTCTTGTTGCTCCAGCACCAAACTCTAGTGCCAGCACTGGCTTCACAAAAAACAGTCAGCTGGGATGGCCCAATCGCTGAAAAGGGGTGCTTGCCAACATGCTCATGGCTGACAACATCAGAAAGGGGAGATTGCCCGTCTCCAGGCAGTGAGCACACCTCACTCCAGGGACTTCCTCCAAACAGTTCCCATATCGGCAATGGGGAACGTGGGGGGGTACTAGACCCTATGACCCTCCATTGCAGTGGCCTGCCTTGCTGCCGCCAATTCACACAATATACGTGTATCTGCGCGAAGCGCAAGCAGAGCAATACGGTCTACATAGTCTTAACTGTTCCAAAACCAAGGGCTGGCATGCAAGACACAAGAGTCAAATGGACATTATAAGAAGAATCCATGCTACAGCTGATGCCCAGCCGAAAGGATAGCCCCGAACACTAGCGCAAACAATACTCACAAACCCCAGCAAACCGCCCAATGGCCGGGATCACCATCTATCCTTGAAGAATGGCAAGCTCTTAGCATGGGACTATACCTGTGTGTTCACACTGCTGACACCTATATCCATCACAGTGTGGGGCGACAGGGAGAAGCTGCTGACCAGAGACCTTGGGTTCATGGGGAAAAAATGCCACACGTTTCCTTAAAGAATTGGGTTCCAGACTCATCGACACACACCAGGATCCAAGGGCAGCAAACTTTCCTGTTACCCAGCGCCTCAAGTAGCCATCCAGTGGGGAAATGCTTGCTGCATACTTGGCTCGCGTCCAGCCTCGGAGGAGCTGGAGGAAATTCATGATCTTTGATACATTGTGCCATTGTATTCATGTTTTATGTTTTTTCTGTAAATGTATTCTTTTATTAATAATGTTCACATCGAACAAAAATAAGGGGTGTAAGGAGAAGAAAATATTCAAACAACTCCGGGAGAACCCTTGAGTTATTCCCTGAGGTACGTTTATTTGTCTTCGCCTGAGGATGAGGGTCCCCAGTCCAGCCATAGAGTGGTACTCCCTATAATTAAATAAATATATATAATATATATATATATAATATATATATATATATATATAAATATATATATATATGATATATATATATAATATATATATATATATATCATATATATATAAAGTGATTAAATATTTTGTAAGTGTAAATGTGATTAAATCCTAGCGAAACTGTAAATCCATAGCAGGACTAAATTGCATTAGTAAAGGTTCACGCCAAGTATAACCGTTGTTTGCTTGATAGAAAAAACACTTCCCACGTTACAACCGAAGCACAAATGTATCTTAACACAATACAACACTATACTCTGAATCACACTGAAGGCTTCGCACGTGCCCTCCAACATATTTAATTTAATACCTTTGTGCCTGGTTGGCCTGGTTTAAAACCTATTGATTACACGAGGATCATTAAGGTAGCGTGACGCTTTATTTTCCTGAGTCAAGAATTCTAAACTCCTCTAATAGTGATTAAAATCAATTCTCAGTGTATATACACTGAGAGACATACACCTCTCAGTATAATTTGCACCTGGTCCCCAGTAAGTGTAGTCTACCAGCCTCGTTATGACGCCATACTATCCCTCACAATATTAATATTATTTTTATAGCCCCAACAAGGCGCACGCTTTAAAAGCTACTGGAATTAGAGATTATTCATAAAGCTGGCGTGAGTAATGCTGAAACATTTTAATACGTATATATTACCTCCAAAAGGGGATTAGAATTAATCTTTAATGATTACTCCTTTAAGTCTTAACTTAAGCTTGATTTAATCTTGTAAATGAAGAAGATTTTCTCACACCTAGACATTAATTTAGTGTTTCCTGGCAGCACTCTTGATGAATATCCTGATACTTTCTCTCTTGTTCTGAGCAAGCGGTGTGAACACATCGCATTGATATATACGAGATACGACTCAGAATGATGCAAGTAACACTTATAAAGTTATTCAAGAAATTTATCTATACTATGAAATACTTGAGCAGGATTTGCCTGATACATTTAGATAATATTAGCACTAATTTAGATTTTTTCCTCCGAACTTGCTGGTTTATTGTGCAACCCATATCCATCCTATGGATGTTAAGGCTCAAGAATATGTAGGTAAACAAAAGTCTAGGGACTCGATCCAAAGAAAGGGTTTAAACCTCTGCATCTTTATGATGATTTGCTCTGCGTGACTATATTTTCCATATTTGAAAGCACTCTAGTCTAGAAACTAGTAGCCTATGTAATGAAACACTGATATTCTTATCCTTAAAGACTCAGCAGGCTTTTCCTATACCATGATACCATATACTCGATTTATCTATCGCTCCATCAATAATCAGCCTGTTGAGAAAAACCACAAATGTCGTCCACCTACTATCTATCGTCTCGGTAAGCCGCAGTTACATGTAGATAAATAACTTTTATCAGTGGAAAATTTTGATTCACACCTTGCACGCAAATAACTCATATCCCTAAATAATCCTAACATTTCTCTGAGACGGAGATAATCCAGCCCATAGAATCAGTAAGAATTACTCACTTAAAAAAAAAAAAAAAAAAAAAAAAAAAAAAAAAAAACTCATGGTTCTCATTACATTAATGAGGCCTGGTCACAGACCCGGCCGCGGGGGCGACCCCCGGAACTCTCTCCAGGTAATTACGTTACATTGATTTACACTAAACATCATTTAATCGTAATAACACGGAGATATTCCTAAGACAGGCATTAAATTACTGTTTCTGGTTAGTTACAAACACTATTTTTATAACCCAACTAACTCGTAGTTCCCAGAATAAGCCACATGGCACCTCCTTTCTAACACCCAGATCACTCACAATCCTCAGAGTAAGCCGCCTTTCGTCTTCTGGTACCACGGTGACAACATGGTCAACTATGATGGTAATCGTCATCGCCTCAGCGTCATCACAGAGGTGGAGGGCATCAGGACGCACTCCCGTCTCACCATCACTGACGCAAGGTGAGTAGCCACTCACTGTCACTAACACTTACTAGCACTGACACGATTACTCGCCCACTCACCATCACTGAAAGGTTAGTCCTGTATGCACTATCACTAACACTTGCCATCACTGACGATTACACACTCATGCACCATCACTCACTCATTATCATCGACACCATCGCTAATATTCTGCGACTGACTCACACAACGTATAAAAAATACTGAAAGGAATTAACAGAGTGGACAGGGAAGGGAAACAGGTACACGAGGACACACCTAGAGGTTAAAAACACAGATGAGCCACAAGAATGTTAGGAAGAAATTCTTCAGCCTAATAGTGGTCAAGAATAAAGTGGTAGAGGCAGATCTACACGTATCTTTCAGTATAGGATTGATAGGGTTCTCGAAGCCCTCTCGATATAAATATATATTTGTTATACATATAAAAAATATATATGTTACACTAAGTCAGCCAAGAAAAAGGAAGCTGTCAAATAACTAAATAAGTTTAGTTTCACAAAATATTTTTTACTGTGTTAGATCTAAATGATTATGTTTGGTGATATTTTTTATATTCACTTTAATTTAAACAAGAATACTGTATCTAGAAGTGGAACAAAATTAGATGATTTGCAAATGAGTTATTAAAATCAATTTCTGTAGTACACGTACTGGAGGTGACCCAGATAACGAGAACCATATCAGAATTGGGCCACTTGCCTATTTTCCTCCTCTCCTCCTCCCTCCCATCCTTTTCCAGTATTTCCATCCTTCCTGATCCTTCCCATCACACGACAGCTCTGGTCGTCTTCGTGCTTCGTGCATATCAGAATGTACAGTTATGTACCATTTGATGTATAATGACTTTCATTTTGTCATTAGCCTTTCATAGTGTCCTAGTTTTAACATGGAATTTAAACAGGTATAAGAGTTGCAACACTCAATTACAGATTCTTTTTAATCTAAAAGTTCAAATATAATTACTAAAACAATAATGAATTATATTCAGCTTCAGTTACTGTAACTGCAAGCAAGGTTTGTCACAATTATTCACACCCACACTTAGTGATGTTAGGTATGAACTCAAGCAAATAACAAGAACGATTATGATTTGAATGTTATAACACAACTGGTTCATCATATGCTTAATTAAGAATTATACATGAGAGAATTGTATTAGAGTTTACATGAAAAGGCATTTACTTACCAAAGAACTTTTGAATATGACTCACGAAATCGTAATGACACGATTGCAAACAAACCATACCACGGGTGGGATTTGAACCCGCGGTCAGAGAGTCTCAAGACTCCAGACCGTCGCGTTAGCCACTGGACCAGCTAGCCACAATTGAATAATTTACACAATCTGAATAATTTACAGAAAATTTCATAATTTTTACAAAAGAGGAACAGTGATACAAAGACTGCCACTAAGGGTTCAAAGCTTTTCGACTGCATGAGAATCATATATAATATATATATATATATAATAATATATATTATATATATATATATATATATATATATATATATATATATACGTATATATATATATATCAGTGCTTCAATCATCAGGTACCCAGTACCAATGGACACGTTACCCCTGATGCGTGCACATACGTGGCTATAGCAGCTGCAATGGCATAAAGCGTCTCAGAATTTTGAGGGCTTCCTGGGAGACCAGTAGAAGAATTATTTGCTTCAAGCCACTCGTTCGTACATTATAATGTGTAAAGCTCGTGTGTGGTGGGTGTTCTGAGTGTGTGCAATATTCATTAGTTATCATAGGCAAGCACTTGTCTATAGACATGCATCCTGATGATATTTTTCTTTGTGTATATGTGCTAGAGATGCATCGGATGTGAAAAGTTACATATCTGCAGATTCGGATGAGTATGAGGATGTCTTACTTATTTTGCGGATGTGGATACAAATGCAATATCTGTTTACAGTAACATGGTGATGGATGTAAGAAACTGTGCAGATGTTCTGTGCAAGAGGATGCGGATGCGGATATCCGAACATCTCTGATATGTGTGTGTGTCTGAGTGCGAGCTTGTGTATGTGTGATGTGTGTGTATGTGCGTGTGTGTGTGTGTGTTGTGTGTGTGTGTGTGTGTGTGTGTGTGTGTGTGTGTGTGTGTGTGTGTGTGTGTGTGTGTGTATGTGTGTGTATTCACCTATTTGTGGCTGCAGGGGTCGAGTCCTAGCTCCTGGCCCCGCCTCTTCACCGGTTGCTATTGGGTCCTCTCTCTCCCCGCTCCATGAGCTTTATCATACCTCGTCTTAAAACTATGTATGGTTCCTGCCTTCACTACATCACTTTCTAGGCAATTCCACTGCCTGACAACTCTATGACTGAAGAAATACTTCCTAATATCTCTCTGACTCATGTGTGTCTTCAACTTCCAATTGTGACCTCTTGTTTCTGTGTCCCCTCCCTGGAACATCCTGTCTTTGTTCACCTTGTCTATTCCGCGCAGTATTTTATATGTCGTTATCATGTCTCCCATGACCCTCCTGTCTTCTAGTGTCGTCAGGCAGATTTCCCTTAACCTTTCTTCATAAGACATTCCCCTTAGCTCTGGAACTAACCTTGTCGCAAACCTTTGCACTTTCTCTAGTTTCTTGACGTGCATTATCAAATGCGGGTTCCAAACAGGTGCTGCATACTCCAGTATGGGCCTGACGTACACGGTGTACAGTGTCTTGAACGATTCCTTATTAAGGTATCGGAACGCTGTTCTCAGGTTTGCCAGGCGCCCATATGCTGCAGCAGTTACCTGGTTGATGAGTCCTTCCGGAGACATGCTCGGTGTTATACTCACTCCAAGATCTTTCTCCTTGAGTGAGGTTTGCAGTCTTTGGCCACCTAGCCTATACTCTGTCTGTGGTCTTCTTTGCCCTTCCCCTATCTTCATGACTTTGCATTTGGGGGGATTAAATTCGAGAATGCCAGTTGCTGGACCAGGTGTCCAGTCTGTCCAGGTCTTATTGAAGTCCTGCCCGGTCCTCATCTGATTTAATTCTCCTCATTAACTTCACATCGTCTGCGAACAGGGACACTTCTGAGTCTAACCCTTCCATCATGTCGTTCAGATATACCAAAAATAGCACTGGTCCTAGGACCGACCCCTGTGGGACCCTGCTCGTCACAGGTGCCCATTGTGATACATCATTACGTACCATGACTCGTTGTTGCCTCCCTGTCAGGTATTCTCTGATCCATTGCAGTGCCCTTCCTGTTATATGAGCCTGATCCTCTAGCTTCTGCACTAATCTCTTGTGTGGAGCTGTGTCAAAGGCCTTCTTGCAGTCCAAGAAGATGCAATCAACCCACCCCTCTCTCTCGTGTCTTACTTCTGTTATTTTATCATAAAACTCCAGAAGGTTTGTGACACAGGATTTTCCTTCCATGAATCCATGCTGGTTGGCGTTTATACTCTTGTTCCGTTCCAGATGCTCCACCACTCTCCTCCTGATACTCTTCTCCATAACTTTGCATACTATACACGTCAGTGACACAGGTCTATAGTTTAGTGCCACTTTTCTGTCTCCTTTTTTAAAAATGGGAACTACATTTGCCGTCTTCCATACCTCAGGTATTTACCCAGTTTCCAGGGACGTGTTGAAGATTTTGGTAAGTGGCACACACAACATATCTGCTCCCTCTCTAAGGACCCACGGGGAGATGCTGTCCGGTCCCTTTGACTTTGAGGTATCTAAGTCCCTTAGCAGTTTCTTCACCTCCTCCTCATCTGTATGTATGTCATCCAACACTTGTTGGTATATTCCTTGCTGGTGTCCCCATCTGGTCTGTCCCCCGAGAGGCCTTCCTGTCTCCACTATAAATACTTCCTTAAATCTCATGTTGAGCTCCTCACATATCTCTTGATCGTTTCTTGTGAGTTCTCCACCTGGTTTCCTCAGCCTTATCACCTGGTCTTTGACTGGTGTCTTCCTCCTAATGTGGCTATACAGCAGTTTCGGGACAGACTTGACTTTCGATGCTATGTCGTTTTCGTACTGTCGCTGGGCCTCCCTCCTTATTTGTGCTTACTCGTTTCTGGCTCTTCTACTAATCTCCTTATTTTCCTGGATCCTTTGCCTCCTGTACCTTTTCCATTATGTGGTGTACTTAGTTTTTGCCTACCTACACCTTCGGGTAAACCAAGGACTCGCTTTGGTCTTCCTAGTATTTCTGTTTCCCTTGGAAACAAACCTTTCCTCTGCCTCCTTGCACTTTGTTGCTACATATTCCACCATCTCGTTTACTGATTTTCCTACCAAGTCTCTGTCCCACTGAACCTCCTACAGGAAGTTCCTCATACCTGTGTAGTACCCCCTTTTGTAGTTTGGTCTTTCCCATTCAGTTCCTGTTTCCTTCTCCACTTGTAGCTCTACTATTTAATCAAAACTCAGAACCACGTGATCGTTAGCTCCACGGGGCTTCTCATAAGTGATGTACTCAATGTCCGAAGTGCTCAGGGTGAACACAAGATCCAGTCTTGCTGGCTCATCCTCCCCTGTCTCTCTGGTAGTGTCCCTGACATGTTGATGCATGAGGTTTTCAAGTACCACATCCATCATCTTGGCTCTCCATGTTTCGGGACTCCCATGTGGCTCCAGGTTTTCCCAGTCGATCTTCGTGTGGTTGAAATCGCCCATTACCAGTAACTTTGCTCTGCTCAAGTGAGCTCTTCTTGCCACCTCAGCCAGTGTGCCCACCATTGCCCTGTTGTTTTCTTCGTGTGTGTGTGTGTGTGTGTGTGTGTGTGTGTGTGTACTCACCTAATTGTACTCACCTAATTGTGGTTGCAGGGGTCGAGACTCAGCTCCTGGCCCCGCCTCTTCACTGATCGCTACTGGATCCTCTCTCTCTCTGCTTCTTGAGCTTTGTCATACCTCTTCTTAAAACTATGTATGGTTCCTGCCTCCACTACTCCCCTTGCTAGGCTATTCCACTTGCTGACAACTCTATGACTGAAGAAATACTTCCTAACGTCCCTGTGACT